GTCCGGCGTCCGTCTGTCTGTCTGTCCGTCTGTCTGTCTGTCTGTCTGTCTGTCTGTAAACTTTTAACATTTTCGACTTCTTCTCAAGAACCACTGGGCCAATTTCAACCAAACTTGCCACAAAGTATCCTTGGGTGAAGGAGATTCAAATTTGTTAAAATGAAGGGCCACGTCCTTTTTCAAGGGGAGATAATAAAGAATTAGTGAAAAATTAATAGCATCTTTTAAAAATCTTCTTCTCAAGAACCACAGGGCCAGGAAAGATGAAACTCATGTGGAAGCATCCTCAGGTAGTGTAGATTCAAGTTTGTTCAAATCATGACCCCCGGGGGTAGGGCGGGGCCACAATGGAGGATCAAAGTTTTACATAGAAATATATAGGAAAAACCTTTAAAAATCTTCTTCTCAAGAACAGCAAATCCATAATGAGTCATATTAATATAGAAGCATCCTCAGGTAGTGTAGATTCAAGTTTGTTCAAATCATGACCCCCGGGGGTAGGGCGGGGCCACAATGGAGGATCAAAGTTTTACATAGAAATATGTAGGAAAAACCTTTAAAAATCTTCTTCTCAAGAACAGCAAAGCCATAATGAGTCATATTAATATAGAAGCATCCTCAGGTAGTGTAGATTCAAGTTTGTTCAAATCATGACCCCCGGGGGTAGGGCGGGGCCACAATGGAGGATCAAAGTTTTACATAGAAATATATAGGAAAAACCTTAAAAAATCTTCTTCTCAAGAACAGCAAATCCATAATGAGTCATATTAATATAGAAGCATCCTCAGGTAGTGTAGATTCAAGTTTGTTCAAATCATGACCCCCGGGGGTAGGGCGGGGCCACAATGGAGGATCAAAGTTTTACATAGAAATATATAGGAAAAACCTTTAAAAATCTTCTTCTCAAGAACAGCAAATCCATAATGAGTCATATTAATATAGAAGCATCCTCAGGTAGTGTAGATTCAAGTTTGTTCAAATCATGACCCCCGGGGGTAGGGCGGGGCCACAATGGAGGATCAAAGTTTTACATAGAAATATATAGGAAAAACCTTTAAAAATCTTCTTCTCAAGAACAGCAAATCCATAATGAGTCATATTAATATAGAAGCATCCTCAGGTAGTGTAGATTCAAGTTTGTTCAAATCATGACCCCCAGGGGTAGGGCGGGGCCTAAATGGAGGATCAAAGTTTTACATAGAAATATATAGGAAAAACCTTAAAAAATCTTCTTCTCAAGAACAGCAAATCCATAATGAGTCATATTAATATAGAAGCATCCTCAGGTAGTGTAGATTCAAGTTTGTTCAAATCATGACCCCCGGGGGTAGGGCGGGGCCACAATGGAGGATCAAAGTTTTACATAGAAATGTATAGAAAAAATCTTTAAAAATCTTCTTCTCAAGAACAGCAAGCCATGATGAGTCATATTTATATGGAAGCATCCTCAGGTAGTGTACATTCAAATTTGATCAAACCATGGCCCCCGGGGTAGGGCGGGGCCGCAATGGAGGATCAAAGTTTTACATAGAAATATAAAGGAAAAATCTTTAAAAATCTTCTCAAGAACAGCAAAGTCATGATGAGTCATATTTATATGGAAGCATCCTCAGGTAGTGTAGATTCAAGTTTGTTCAAACCATGACCCCCGGGGGTAGGGCAGGGCCACAATGAAGGATCAAAGTTTTACATAGAAATATAAAGGAAAATATCTTCTTCTGAAGAACTGCAAACCATGATTAGTCATTTTGATATGGAAGCATCCTCAGGTAGAGTAGATTCAATTTTGTTCAAATGATGACCCCCAGGGGTAGGGTGGGGCCCAATGGGGGAAGGAAAGTTTTACATAAGAACATATAGAAAAAATATTTCTTCTCAAGAACAGAAAAGCTATGTTTAGTCACATTGATATGGAAGCATCCTCAGGTAGTGTAGATTCAAGTTTGTTCAAACCATGACCCCCGGGGGTAGGGCAGAGCCACAATGAAGGATCAAAGTTTTACATAGAAATATAAAGGAAAATATCTTCTTCTGAAGAACAGAAAAGCTATGTTAAGTCATATTGATAAGGAAGCATCCTCAGGTAGTGTGGATTCAATTTTGTTCAAATGATGACCCCCAGGGGTAGGATGGGGCCCAATGGGGGATGGAAAGTTTTACATAAGAACATATAGAAAAAATATTTCTTCTCAAGAACAGAAAAGCTATGTTTAGTCTTATTGATATGGAAGCATCCTCAGGTAGTGTAGATTCAAGTTTGTTCAAATGATGACCCCTGGGATAGGGAGGAGCCACAATGAGGGATCAAATTTTTACAAAGGAATACATGGGAATTTTTTTAAAAAAATCTTCTCAAGTACAACAAAGCCATTTGTTATATTGACATGGAAGCATCATCAGGTAGTTTAAAATTCAAGCCCCCCCCCCTTCTTTTCAATACTGAACTGATTGTGCTTTTGCCTAGCCAATGTGCTCAGGTGAGCGATGTGGCCCATGGGCCTCTTGTATTTTTTCTGTTGTTAATTTGTTTTTTTTTTCTCGTTTGTTTTATCATATTATTTAAATGAGAGATAATCTTTGATATCACTCTCAGATCTTTATTCCCTGAAGCTTACCAACAAAAGACATATTGTTTTACAGGTCTGAAGCTCAAACTACTACAGATGACTTTGAAATATATTTAAAATTACATATTTAGTCTGACCAAACACGTTCTATATATAGATAAATTTGAACGAAACATAGATAGGTTGAGGATTTCTAATTTGTTGTTTTAAAAAGTAATAAAATGGAAAATGGAAAATTTATTTAACAAACTTGGACCCATACAGTGAATTGTGCATTATGATAGTGTAAAATCATACGAGAACGGTTAGTTAACAATGTATGATGGATACAGTTAGTTGTTCAGTCTACATGTGACTTTAAATAAATATATACAAACAGATATCATTTATGATATCTATTTTGCAGCAATTAAATACTATACTTGTATAAACCTAATGCTGCAAAAAACATGTGACAAGCATTTTTACTTAAAAGTTTTCTATTCTGATAAATGTTCTCTTGGCTTAATGAAACAGCAAATACAGAAATCTTCATTTGACATTATCCATAGTAATCCATGTAATACTATATACACTGTAGGTCAATGTTGTTTACTGAGCAGTATAAAAAAGATCTTTAAAATATTTAAAAAATATTATTACAGCAAATATTCTAAAATTAGGAAGTGTATGTCATCTTCTCATGAAATACAATATCCTTGAGGAGATTTTCTTTTCTTTCGTGAAATTCAACATATACTAGTACTAGTATTTTTCAAAATATGCCAATCCTTTTATTTATTGTGTGGACTGGATAGGGGTGTTAACAATTCATCAATACATAAAATAACTATCAATATTCTCTTCGATACTTCCCCCAGAAGTGTACAATTCACAAGTTTGATCTAAAATTACAGAATTTGAATAAGTTTGGCAAATTACACTAAAAGTTTTCTTCCTTCCAGGAATTAAAAAAAAAAAAAGATTTTTACCTTGCCTTTATGTTAGAAAGTATTCAAGGCTATTTGAATCGGATTTTTTGAAAAAGAAATGCTGAAATGTTGAAATCTACATTTTTTCTATTAAAATAAGAAAATAATTTAATAAGAAACATGTAGAAAAAAAATCTTCGAAAGCCATGATTAGTCAAAGAAATATGAAAGCATCCTCAGTTGGTGTAGATTCAAGTGTGAATGAATCAACCCCCCTTTTCGGGGGTGTGTGTGTGTGATCACTTATATGTTTAACTTTTTCAGTACTAAACTGATTTCTGCTTTTTTTCTAGCCAATGTACCAAGGTGAACGAAGTGGCCCATGGGCCTCTTGTTTTTTTATGCTCCCATGATCAAAGTTGAACATATTGAGAAAAAGTCAAAGTGATCAGACACAAGTTCTGAAACTTAGTCTTTTCCATTTACAACATTTTGTAAGATAATAGTAGAATTAAAAAAGAACGTGAAATCTTTTTAAATGACCATAATGTAAGTTTTCATTGTAAAAATTGAGCCTTTTTTAATTAAAAAAAAATTAGACCACATTCATTGAGAAAAGTCTGAATAATTTTAATAAGTTGGGCATTTTGTACAGTAGTTAAAGAATCATCCCCCATAGCATCAATTACATTTATAATCATGATAATGTACAGATTATTTAATGATAATAGCTTATTCATGAAAGAATTCCTTGCTTTTGCATAATTTTGAAAGCAAAAACAATTGGGTTTTATCTCCTAATAGCTTTCATGGACAAATTTGAACTGGCTTAAAAATTAATTTAAGTTACAAAGAAATGTCAGAGTTTATAATACGTAGTGTCACAAACATGTTTGAATTATTTTCAAAGCCCTTTTTCTAAATGAAAAATATTTTTAAGGTTTTACAATACTGTTGTGCTGACAAATCTTAAAAGTTTAATATAAGTCGCTTTCCTTGTTTTAATACTAAGGGTATTCCACCTTCTATCGGCAACAGGAATAAATGATTAGCTAAAGAATTCTTATCTCCAATTTGGCAAAAGAATATAGTCTAATGATTTCTTAGTAATGCATCTTGAAATTTAGCATGTTATACTACCTGTATATTTGGTATGGAAGTAGGTACAACTTACATCATTGTGCATTTTATACATTATTATTAGTTTGGCTCTATTCTTCAGTGTTTCAAAGTTCCCAACCTTTACCAAATATAATGAATTTCTCGAATCAAAAATTGTTAGCCAAGTAACTACATGTACATAATTGAGTTCAGATGACCTACTGATTTTATATACTGCTTGAAAGTTAAGGAACTATTTCGTTTTACTGAACTACTTTCTTCCCCTACCGATTCTAAAAAATAATTAGAGGTATATATGTACCCAATTATTTCTCGTACTATTTAAAACTTTGTATCCATGTCTACAAGGTCTAAGTTAAGAGAATTCATGTACAGTGTATGTATCATTTTTATTTTCAAGGTCAACAGTTGCCAGCTTATGTAATTGAGAATAGTCCAGGATGTATCAACACCTCTGTTACTTCTTGGAATATATCGGATAATTTTCCCCTTATATATCTTAAGAAGGAAAATAAGAATATCTGTACGTTGGGTGGCATACCTGGTAAGGACCCATACATTGACATCATTATAGAATACAGAGACAGAATCTCCTGTGGAATAGATGTTAACCAGAAACAAACCTTTTTCTGCTTCACAAACGCAGTCAACATTTTAGATGCTGGAGTATACTCTGCTGAACTGACGACAGGCTTAATTGTATATAACAACACTCTTTATGTCATGAGTAAGTTACTACCGTCACAAAGTCTATGAACTGTTTTGAACTGAATTTACACTACAAAATAACTTCCAAACGAAATAATCAGTCAAGGCAGTTAACAAAGAGATTAAACAAATTAAGAATAGGTAGTTGTAGAGGATAAAAAGGAATGTCAAATTCATAACATATAGCTTTAGGTTATTAAAAGCATTACATAAGGAAACGTAGAAAATGAAGACTACATATATCTATACGACACTGTATTGCTACGTAACATGGTGTTCAGACATTGATTTCATATTTTCAGGGCCTCCAACAAAGCCCATAATAAGTCTACAGGGAGATCTGATTAACCAGAAGGCTCAAAATCTGACTTGTTATGCTGCATCTACATCTCTACCAGTGACGGGTCTACTAATGACTTATTCATGGACAGATAATGGTGCTGCTATCACAGACTCTAGGTTTACCTTTTCTGGACAAGGGAATAAAGTACTGATGATAAATAGGGTCAGAAAAGAAGACCAAGGGAAGAAAATCCAGTGTATAGCAACAGAGGACAAAGGAACATCTTCTGTTCTGAGTGATCTAACAATTCTTGATGTACTCTGTAAGTTATCTTTGAATGTAATTTTTAATCTGTATCCAAGTTGTTCCTTTCACACACATCAATTTGAAGCCATTATATGCTTAATTGATATATGAGACAATTTAACAAGCAATGTGAACTTATTTAGAATTTGCTGTAGAACTGTAGCTCTCCGGTTGAGATCCAAGCGTTGCAAAAACTTCTATTTACGGCGACGATGTTGGGTCGCTCGCTTCGGGCATTATATCTGACATTATATACATTTCCCTTTCTTAAGCATGGGATCTCTTAATTAAATATAATTTTTACTTTCATTGTTGATACTTTATTTACCTTACCAATGGTTTAAAATAGCACTAAATGGCTTTTAAATGTAAGCTTAAAAGTCGCATTCCGACGTTGACGTTCATCTTTAATTTGGGTCGTCCCAATAAAAAAAAAGAAATTATATAGATAAAACTTGGGTTGTTATTTTAGAATGACATCAACTTAAACGTTGGATTGTTTTTTTTTTATTTACTTTTTTTTTTAGCTTAAATATAACATTTTATCTTTAAAATTATGTCTAGTATTTTTTTCCGTTCGAATTTTGTGATATTTGGTCAAGATAACATTTTATTACATTTCGTGGAGGAATACAGCTACAGTTACCGAGAATACATACACTGTAAAAAATGTGTTTATAATTCAAACACTTTTCTAAACACTTTCTTGTCACCTCCTTTTTTATATGTTTAATTTCTAAACATGTAAAATTCCTAAACATGTCTTAGAAAGTGTTAAGAATTTAAACACTTATGTGCTTAGAAATTAAACATATCTAAACACATAAACACAAGAGTTTAAATTCTAAACACATAACAGCAGATGTGTTTAAAATCTAAACACATCATAAGTTTGATTTGTACCTGCAGAAAAACAAAACACTCTCGTAAATTTAGGCACACAAAGTATATGATTCTTAAATGCGCATAATTGTCAAAATTTTCAAAATATGTAACCAATATTAATTATTTTCCAAAAAGCCACTGAACGTTAGGATATGTATTTAATTATACAATGTAATGGTCACTGTGCGATGCACATGTACTTAATTTACACAAATAATGTAGGAGATAGAACTGAATAGATTTGATTAGTCTCAACAATTCAATCAGAATGACACATAATTTATAACGTACACATAGATAACAAACTTTTAATCTTCAAAATTATTAAGAAAATAATATTAAGCTGACAATTTAATATCAAAACTTCATTGAACATTTCTAAAAGGCTTTATTAAAGAATTGTTAAACTAAAAATACAAAATGTATATTTATATATATATTTATTATAATCATTATATTTTGAATCGGCTGCAGAGTTTTCCTCATGTCAATCACAAAATATCAAATTTTATGAACTTTCAGCAAGTCCCAAAACACCACATATTATAATCTATATCCCATCAATAACTGCCAGAAAGTAACCCATTCCGAATGCACGAGGATAATTGTAAACACTTTTGAATTAACACAGTAGTCTTCAACAAATGAAGTTTCAAAGTGTTGATTATGGAACAACAACATTGCACTTGAAGATGACACCAGGTACTCTGATACGTGTATTTTGAGTTCGATCTGGACTACGTACAGTGCCTGTAGGAAAGAAAGCCAGGTTTTAGAAAAAGTACACTATCACGGATATTTTACATTACTTAGAAAAACAAAATTGTTCAAATTTTAGTGAAACTACACAGATATAAATATAGATGTTTTTAATGACATTTAATATTATTTCTTCTCCTGCAAGTCTATGAACGAATTCAAGATATCCCAAGTCAACTTCATTTACGTTGCTCATCGTGGTTAATTAATGCAAAGAAGAAGAAAACAAACCTTCAATGTATTGCAGCAACAAGATGCCCTTTCACGTATTTCACTATTTCGTCATGGTTATCCCTTGAATTGGGTTGTCATAACTCTCATTGATACATCACCTTAGCTTGCTGCGTTTTCTTCGTTTACAAAGCCGCTCAAATTAACGTTCAAATATATGTGTGTCATTTCCGGGAAGATAACTCTGCACTTTACAGTAAAACGTGTTTAATTTCTAGACGTGTTTAGATATAAAACATGTTAAGACATAAGTGTTTAGTTGTTTAACACAATACTATACACGTTTAGATCTAAACATGTAATAGAAGTGTTTATTTCCTAAACACAATTTTTACAGTGTAGAGTAAGACTTTTACCTTTTGTGTAAGGGTGTACAGGAGTAAAGGTAAAGGCCGATTTAAACTGGAGGCAATAATTATATCCCGGTTCCTCCCTTTTTTATACGCCCGTCTTTAGACGGGACGTATTATGTTATGGCGTTCATGTCCGTCCGTCTGTCCGTCTGTCTGTCTGTCTGTTAGCTTTTCTCGTGTCCGGCTCATAACTTTAATACTATTAGGCTTAGGATTATCAAACTTTGTCAGCTGATACTTCTTGGGTAGAAGGTGTGTCGCGCACTAAAAGTAGGTCGTTCTGACCTTTAATTAAGATGCTATGGCCAAATATGGAAAAATCCTGTCCGGCTGATAACTAGAAAACTATCAGACTTAGAATCATCAAACTTGGCCAATTTATGCATCTTAGGTAGAAGGTGTGTCGCGACCTATTTCAAGGTCACTGTGACCTTTAATTTAAGTGAAATTTTTAAAAAAAACTATCTTTTTACTATTAAATTATACAATCCCAAAAAATGTAAAAGTGTTGCAGTATCCTTATCAAAAAATGTTAAAATCAAGAAAATACTTATTTTTTTCATTATATACTTTACAGCAATCTATAAGAAATATAATGTTACAAGAGAAATTCCACCTCTCCCATGGGTGTAATTATCAAGCACTGGTCAAGGAGAATTTTGATAACAGAAAATTGCATGTCAAATTAGAGAGAAATTAATGAGTTTAGTGTGAGGAGCTAACTGGTAGAGCATCTCTGATCAAGCAGGTGTTATCTATGTCTCTTGGGAATTGGGCAGAGGAATCAGCCATGTTGGATTAAATAGTTTTTGTGGGCTAGCCTAACTTTTAAAATGAATTTGGTGAAAAGTAATTATAATTTGATATTGTATAATAAACTAGTTTGATATTGTTTAATAAACTAATTAATTAAAACTAATTATACTGGGGGGGGGGGGTGGTATTGGAATTAGCATGCCCGTTGTCCATATGAATTGCAGCTTAAAACCAGTCTGACATTGAATCTAAAGAAAAAAAAAGAAGAAAGTATTTAAAAAAAAATTAATTATGGTAGATAGTCCCTACAAATCTAAGAGTCTAGCAGAAACCTTATTAAAAATGTTGCATCAAGATTACAATTTTTTTTTCTTTTTATAAATCTTTGTAACAAAGTGAAAAAAAAAATCTTTGTATTCAAATTTAATTTCAGAATGACATAAATATTCATTTTAAATGCACTACAAAGCAGATAGCGCAGATCCATTCATCCCTTGGGAGTAATGAGTGGACATGCATCCAGTTAAAGAATAATTAATGAGTTCAGTGTAGGAAGGCTAGCTGTCTCAATCATTTCTGTTAGAGGATCTCTGATCAAGCTCTTATCTGTATCCTTTGGGAATTAGACAGAAGAACTGCTGGTCAGTTTATAGCATATGTCATTTGATTGCCAGTCTTTTATTTTAAAATTAATTTGGTATAGATTAAGTTAAGACTAAATTGATATTGTTTAATTGATATTTTTATTTTATTTTTTGAAAATATTGACGAACAAATTTCAGAGCATCATGTCTCACAAATATGAAAGATTGTGTGTGTGTCACTGTCACTGTGTGTGTGTGTGTGTGTGGGGGGGGGGGGGTGTTGCAGATGGGTATTTGTCAAGCTCTAACACAACCAGTTGAGGATCGATAATGTTATATTATTTTGTTATAATTCATGCCTACACCATAGGAAATGTATAAACAAATATTATAAGGAATGGAAAAATATTGGAAATCCTTGTATCAAGGTTGACTTGATTTTCTTGCACTCTGAACTGTTTGTGATAATTGAACAATATTTGACGGGCGTATCATGCTGTGGCGGGGCACTTTATTTCAACTAAAAATGACATTTCTATTGCGTACTTTTCACCGATGTTTTAAAGGTTTGTTTTTATGAATTTTATTGAAAAATCTTGAAATAATCATGGTCTATTTTTGAGAACCTGTAGTATTTGAAAACGTAAGAAAATTTGACATTCAGGTATGTTTCTAATGAGGTATTGCAGTATATTTTTAGGTCACCTGACTCACTTAGGTGACCTATTGCTATCTGTTTTCGACTCTCGGTGTGCGGATGTGCGTCGTGTGTAAACTTTTCACATTTTTGACTTCTTCTCAAGAACCACTAGGCCAATTTCCACCAAACTTGCCACAAAGTATCCTTGGGTAAAGGGGATTTAAGTTTGTTCAAATGAAGGGCCACACCCTCTTCCAAGGGAGATAATGAAGAATTAGTGAAAAATTAATGGTATCTTTTAAAACTCTTCTTCTGAAGAACCACTGGACCAGGTAAAATGAAACTTATATGGAAACATCCACAGGTAGTGTAGACTCACATTTGTTAAAATCATAACCCCCAGGGGTAGGGTGGGGCCACAATGGATGATAAAAGTTTTACATAGAAGTACATAGAAAAAAATCTTTATAAGTTTTCTTCTCCAGAACCACTGGGCCAAGAAAGATGAAACTTATGTGGAAACATTCTCAGGTAGTTTAGATTCAAGTTTGTTTAAATCTTGACCCCAAGGGGTAGGGTGGGGCCACAATGGATGATCAAAGTTTTACATTGGAATTCATTGGAAAAATCTTCTTCTCCAGAACCACTGGGCCAAAAAAGATGAAACTTATGTTTCATCAGGTAGTGTAGGTTCAAATTTGTTAAAAGCATGATCCCCAGGGGTAGGATGGGGCCACAATGGACAATAAACTTTTACATTGGACTATGTAGGAAAAATCTCAAGAATAGCAAAGCCATGATTGGTTATATTTACATGGAAACATCCTCAGGTAGTATAGATTCAAGTTTGTTCAAATCATGACTCTAGGGATAAGGTGGGGCAACAATGGATGATCAAAGATTTAAAAAAACTTCTTCTTATCATTGTATTTTATACTCAATGTATCCTCTATGGATTGTTGTTTTATACTCAGGTGACTGTTAGGCCCTTGGGCCTGTTGTTTCAGCGAAGAGTCGCTCGGAAGACCACTTGTTGCCTTAGCAACAAGTACGCATCTAGTTTTTTATCCCCATAGTATGGGCCATATCTCAGCTGTGCGTAGTTCAATTTGAAAGATTTTTTCAGGGAAAATGCATCATGAGAATATCTCCAGGTGTGTCACTCACTTTTTCGAAATTCTCTTTAGCTTCCGTTCGGGTTTTTGTGGGAAATTTGTATTTTATAATGGCTAAAGATATGAAAGTGAAACTCACGGACGTTACAAAAAAAAGCAAAATATCTTGACTTGACGAGATAGTTATCTTAACTTGACACGATTTGTGATGTTGACAAAATTTATCTGGATGGCATAAGTATGTCATAATGGTCGATACAATGACCTTGTCAGCAAATCAATCTATCATTAAGTCAAATGCTGACTGACGTTTTTCATACTTATTGTTAGGCCATTACGAAGTTTTCCGTTTATCTGATCATGAAAGGGAACACACGGCGGGTGTGACCTGTCGACAGGTAATGTTTACTCCTCCATGACACCTTATCCGACCTCTGATTAATTAAGAGGTCCTTGTTTGCTCTACTGCCTCTTTGTACAGTTTCAATGAACTATTGAGCTTGATTACGTTCATTATTTCTATATTACATTTATTCATCATGATATCAAAATTCCATCCAAAAAAATTTTGTTCTTACACGAAATTTAACTTCTTTGTTCGTACATGTATGGACTATTTAACAGTTTATAAAAATGAGAGAATTGTATATTATCCTGAAATGTATTCCTTTTGTTGAGCAATAATTCAACTAGGATATTGATAACTATTTTTTTTTAAAAAGATTTCCTTCAAAAGTTATCAGGGTTTCAATTTTTCTGTATTATTTAATGAATTTTAATGATAAACTAAAAAAAAAAATAAACATTTAACTATTGATTTAGAGAACCTTACGGGCAGACAACCTTTGAAGGCATACATTTTTTAGAATGTATAAATATCAGTTATTGAATTGGTTTGAATAGATTTTCAATTTTAATTACATGTAATAATTATGATTTATAAAATTTTAATACAGATAAGCCAGAAGTGAGCACCCCTATCTCAAGTCCATACAATGTTCTCGAGGGTCAGACAGCTACAATGACATGTAGTGTGACTGCTGCCAACCCTCATACAGACATCAGATGGAGCTGGATCAAGAAAGACAGTCCCAGTTATGTCCTCGATACAGGTCTCAACTACACAATCTCCAACATACAGAGAAATCAGTCAGGGATTTATAACTGTAGAGCTACCAACTCCATAGGAATGTCTACACCAGCTTCAATACATGTGGATGTACAGTGTAAGTACCATACCTAGGTCAATTTTGAAATGTAATGTAATAAGTTATATTTACTTCGGAATTTCTTTATTACAGTTACCAATACCGTTACTTTTATGCTGTTAATGACATTACTGTTAATGTTAGCATCAGTAGTTTAAATTTCGCCGCTTTCAAACGCTTAAATGATTCGTAAGAGTTATCTCCCTGTGATTGCAAACCTTACCTTAAAATCCCCTGTTACGTTGCTTTTCTATTATAACCGGAAGTTGTCGTTTTTTTTTTTCCGGTGAGATCAACACATATCGAAATTGTGAAGGAGATACAATTATATGATGCAAGTTTTATTTCAAAAAAGAAAAATTATTTTTTTCGATTTATTTGATCACTTCCTGTGACAACCGGAAGTGACAGCTAACGCTCTTTACCAAAGTGGTTTCGCCTACCCCTTAAGTTCTATTTCTCATATAAGTTTGGTGTCTTAATCTCTTACCGTTTTTGAGATCTCACTCGAACAAGTTCTACCGTTCACGGTAGCTCAGTTGGTAGAGCGCTTGCTCCGTGATTGGGAGGTCGTGAGTTCGAATCTCGGCCGCGACTGACCTAAGTCGATAAAAAATGGGTAGCAACTGTTCCTTCGCCATGCGCTCGGCACTTTGAAGTGAAAGTTGCGGGTCCTTCGGATGAGACCTTAAAAACCGAGGTCCCGTGTCACGGCAGGTGTTGGCACGATGAAGATCCCTCACTGTTCAATGGCCCTGAGTGCCGAGTAAAGGTCAAAATTTGAAGCCCTTCACCTGTATATGGTGACGTCTCTATATGAGTGAAAAATCCTCGAATGGGACGTAAAACAACATACAATCAATCAATCAAACACGACAGAATTTGTGGTTTTTGCCGTAAAAAATCATTATTTCTGTATACTTCAAAGACTCACCGAAATATTTTCAATGAAGTTTCTTTGAGGTCTCTTCTATATTTCTGTGAAATGAATTAGATTTTGCGTAAATGATATTGAAATACACTTTAAACCTAACAAGTTAGTTTACAGACTTCATAAAGGATGCATAATTGTGGTTGAATTAAGTTTGGACATTAAGCCACCATTAAGCTGCAGCTTAAAGGTGGCTTAATGGTAGCTTAATGAAATTTGGACATTGAGCACCTAGAGGCTGCAGCCAAATGGTGGTTAAAGGAATTAACTTCTATAAACCACTACTAAACCACCTTAAAGCCACCATTTAGCGTTTGCTTAAAGATGGTTTTTCGTCCTGTGGACCAAGTAAAGAATCTCTAATGCCAATTGTATTCTTTTATGACAACCCCACTTTCAAATTTGAAACAAAAAATGACAATCATGAATACTGCAGAAATTGATATTTTTAGCTCTTCAGAGCCAAAGGCTCAAAGAGCTAATGCTACATGTATGGCCATTTGTGCAGTGTGAGGAAACTTTTTAGAATATGGGCCATAACTCAAGAACCGCTTGGCCAATTATTGTCAAATTTGTCACAGGGTATCCTGGGCCCAAGGGCTTTCGTTTGTACTAAAACTAGGGTTGTGACCCTTAAACAAGGGGAGATAATTAAGAAAATAGAAACCAAAGCACTGGTTGCTAAAAAATCTTCTTCTCAAGAACCACTGGGCAGATTATCACCAAACTTATACAAAAGGATGAGGATATGTTGTAAATTAAAGATTGTTCAAGGCATCACCCTGGGGCAAAGGGCATGGTCTCAAGGTCACTTCAAAGTTGACCAAAAATTACATTTTATTAAAAACTTGAAATTTTGCTTACTATAAGGACTAGGATCAATAAATCTTGTCAGTTGGTGCAACTAAGGACCTCATATCACGTTGACTCAAAAGTAGGTCACGGTGACCTACTTTTTAAATTTTGCGGCCGTTCTTTTTCAAAATGATTTAGAGGCATATTTCGAACAATTTAAGGCCTATGATCATCAAACTTTTTAGTTGACATATCTTGGGTCCTCGGAGTAGGTCAACTAAAAAGAAGGTCACCTTGACCTACTTTTTGAATTTTATAGCTAATCTTTCTCAAAACAATTAAGGTCATTAATTCGAGTACTGAGAGGTTGAGAGTCATTAAATCTTGCAAGATGATGCATCTTGGGGCCATAAAACATATTTATTAAAAAGTGGGTCACAGTGACTTACTTTTTGAACTTTGCAAGCATTCGATTTCAAAGCATTTTAGAGGCATAATTTGGACATTTTAAGGCCTAAAATCATAAAACTTTGTAAGTTGATGCATCTTGGGTCTTCGAAAAACGTCAACTGAAAAGTAAGTCACCAAGACCTACTTTTTGAAATTTTATGGCTTTATTTAAATATTTAGAGTACTATTTGGTTTAGAATCATCAAAATTTGTCAGTTGATGTATCTTGGGTCCTCAGAGTAGGTTGACTGAAAAGTATGTCACCGTGACCTACTTTTCAATTTCTATAACTATAATTAAATAGTTCGGGTACTAATTGGGTTAAAATCATCAAACTTTGTCAGTTGATGCATCTTGGGTTTTCGAAGTAAGTCGACTGAAAAGTAGGTCACTGTGACTTACTTTTGAAAATTTATAGCTTTCATTTAATATTTCAGGTACTACAGTCCCTGAAACGTTCTACTTTCCCACTTGAATGGTGAGCGAACGCTGAACGAACGGTGAACGAACGCTGAACGAACGCAGAGCGAACGGTGAGTGAACGATGTGTGAACGCTGAACGCAACTTGGTGAACGATGTGTGAACGCTGAACGGTGAGCGAACGCAGAACGCGAACGGAGCGCAAACGCGAACGCAAAGTGAACGGTGAACGAACGGTGAACGCAAGATGAACGATATATTCGGAATGCCTCTGATCTTTTCCTTGCATTGAAACTATTTTATTGTTTTATTATGTCAAGTGCCAAAATAAATAAATAAATTAATCAATCAATAATAAATAAGTAAACCAATAAATGAATGAATAAATAAGTCAATAAAATAAATTCTCCAAAATTGTCCTGAGAAAGACGATGCATGCACATTAAGTTTTTAATCACACGATTTTTATCGCATTAAAACATTGCAATTGTTGCCAAACTCTGAAGTATGAGATATTTTTTTAGTTGGAAAATAAAAATGTTTATTCTTATTTGATAACAAATCAGAGAAAACTTCTGACTTATAGAATGAATTAAAGTGGTTGTAACATCCATTCATATATCTCCGTGTTAAGGCGATTTCGTGTAAAGTAATGAAAAAAAAATTAATTACATAGGTCAATGGACGTTTTGCATTTATACGCTCGTATTTTAAATTTTTAATACAATAATATATTCTGTGTCATTTCTATTTTACATGATGATTTATCAGGCCCGTAGGAAGCAAATTCGGTGGGGGGGGGGGGGGGGCACAGCCATACATTTTCAGTTGATAGTTGAGGGGGCACTACCAAAAATTTCCTGACAAGCAAAAAAAAAAAAAAAAAAGATCATCAGACTTTTTATTGCGGGGGCACAAGCATATAGTATCTATGTTTACTATAATAATCTATATATCGGCAAAATTATTGGGGAGGGGGGCACGCCCTCCCTCCCCCTCGGTTCCTACGGCCATGTTTTATCTGTAGATGGCCGTGATTATACTCGGACAAGGTAATACAAAGATACATATTCATATTATTTGTTATAAATTCAATTTTCAGAACTTGATATTCAAGTAATATGCTGTTATAGTTTTTATTAAACAGACAAATGAGAGAGAGAGAGAGAGAGAGAGTAAGAGAGAGAGAGAAATATTCCGTTTTAGCTAACCCCCCCCCCCCCCCCATTTCAGGCTTCACTACATGTTTGTACCTATATCAAACAAAAACTCTGAAATTTTTTTCTAAGTATATCAGACAGTGAAAGTAACTTCTTTTTTTTTTATCAACAAATCAAATCCATTTGTTTGACAGTCATACTCGTTTTTATTTTCCTGCTTCAAGTTCACACGAAGTCCACGTGCTTGTCCTGTCAATCAAAATCATTCGAGACTGTGCAGGTGTGAAAGTTTCGTCACATCGAAGACGAAGTGCGAGTATTTCCAACAAGTTATAACATTTATTTTTATCATTTCTAGATTTGATTCCAACATTTGAATGATAATTGAATAAAATACATAGGGCATTAACACTTGAATTTGAAACATACTCTGCCAATTCCATATACCACTGCCGACACGTGTACATTTTGAACTACTATTGTTTTGTGACTTTTTTAGATGCCTGTTTGTTTTGAGACTGAAATTTTTGTTCTAAAAAAGACCTTAACTTTTTTTAAAAAATGTTAATTAAAATATTCTGGAAATACAATACTGACTAAGTAACCGATTTAGGGGGAAAAGGGGGGGGGGGTATTAATCATATCGAATGACAAACATATAAAGTTACGGTGAAGAAAGATTTTTGTTCTCTCTATAACTATAGACTTTACATATTATAGTAGAGAAAATTCTGTAGTGCATTACATTTTAAATAAATATTTCCTTCAACCACACCATCAATTTAATCGCTCTAAAGATAATAAATTAATACGATATCCGCAGTACTATGTATAACTCTCAGAACTAGTTCTATCATATTTTCTGTAGTAATTGAAAAAAAAAGTGTTATAAATAAATATTTTCGTAATTTTGCTGCGTAATTATTTGACTTGGATAATCATATCTCCGTTAACTATTTGTCGTCTTTAACAAAACAACAAAATGTTGCAGTGCTTGAAGTATTTGCACATTGCCTTTAGTTAAATTTAATATTTCAGCATCGTTCTACATAGGTACAGAATGTGCTTATAACAACATTTATTTTTCAGAGTAATTTAATAAATAACCTAACAGCTAAGTTAGAATAATAAAAATATATATCGTAGATATTTTCCCCCATGAAATAATGATTCTTCAAACACGATATGTAAGTTATTAAATTAAAAAACCTGTAACTCCTAACCTACAAAAAGATAAGTCCTTTCACTTCGGAGTTCCGAATGACAATGAAAACTGAACGATAGGTGAACGCTGAACGCAAGGTGAACGCAAAGTGAACGGAACGAAGAGCGAACGCTGAATGCTTTGTGAACGGTGAACGCGAGCGCACGGTGAACGGTGAACGCAAAACTGTGAACGGAGAGCGAACGGTGAACGCATGGTGAACGAACGGTGAACGCACGCTGAACGAACGGTGAACGAACGGTGAGCGAACGGAAAAATGGGAAAGTAGAACGTTTCAGGGACTGTAATTGGCTTAAAATCATCAACTTTGTCAATTGATACATCTTGGATCCTTGGAGTACGACAACTGAAAAGTAGGTCACCTTGACCTACTTTGGAAATTTTATGGCTGTAATTAATATTTGCGGGTACTATTTGGCTTAGAATCATCAAAATTTGTCAGCTGATGTATCTTGGGTCCTTGGAGTAGGTCGATTGAAAAGTAGGTCACCGTGACCTACTTTTGAAAATTTATGGCTTTAATGAAATATTTCAGGTACTAATTGGCATAGAATCATCAAACTTTGTCAGTTGATGCATCTTGGGTTTTCGGAGTACAACAAATGAAAAGTAGGTCACTGTGACTTACTTTTGAAGATTTATGGCTTTAGTTATATATTTTTAGGTACTAATTGGCTTAGTATCATCAAACTTTGTCAGTTGATGCACCTTGGGTCCTCAGAGTACAACAGCTGAAAAGTAGGTCAGCATGACCTACTTTTGACTTTTTATGTCTTTATTTAATATTTTCGGGTACTATTTGGCTTAGAATCATCAATCTTTGTCAGTTGATCCATCTTGGTTCCTGAGAGTACGGCTATTGAAAAGTATGCTACCATGACCTACTTTTCAATTTATATGGCTATAATGAAATATTTTGGGTACTAATTATCTTAGAATCATCAAACTTTGTCAGTTGATGCATCTTGAGTCCTTGAAGTAAGTTGACTGAAATGTAGGTCACTGTGACTTACTCTTGAAATTTTATTGCTTTTTAAAAATATTTTTAGGTACTTATTGGCTTAGAGTCACCAAACTTTTTCAGTTGATGCATCTTGGTCAACAGAGTTAGTCGACTGAAATGGAGGTCACTGTGACCTATTTTTGAAATTTTATGGCTCTATTTAAATATATCAGGTACTAAATGGCTTAGAATCATCTAACTTTGTCAGTTGATGCATCTTGGGTCCTCAAAGTATGTCATCTGAAAATAGGTCACTGTGACGTACTTTTGAAATTTTATGGTTATATTTTTTAAAGATATTTTAGTAATTGATTGACTTAGAATCATCAAAGTTAATTGATGCATCTTGAGTCCTCAGAGAATGACGTGATAAGTAGGTCACCTTGACCTACTCTCAGGCACTAATTGGCTTAGAATCATCTTGTGTTCTCAGTGTTTCATCTAAAATGTAGGTCATGATGACCTACCTTTGGAATTTCAAGGCTTTATCTAAATATACAGGATACTTAGAGGCTTCAAAAAGAAGTGATAGGTTGTACACTTTATCAGAAGAGCGATTCAAGGCCCTTGGGCCTCTTGTTTAAATCTTCTTGGTTTTCTCAGAGAACCACAGTTGAGTAGTAATTTTCAGTGACTATGCGTGCCACTAAAGCTAAAGTGGTTAAGGAGAATGGCTATTAATACATGTATTTGCATTTGTTAATTTTGGTTTATAAAATTAATACAGATAAGCCTGAAGTGAGCACCCCTATCTCAAGTCCATTCAAGGTTGTTGAGGGTCAGACAGCTACAATGACATGTAGCGTGACTGCTGCCAACCCTCATACAGACATCAGATGGAGCTGGATCAAGAAAGACAGTCCCAGTTATGTCCTCGATACAGGTCTCAACTACACAATCTCCAACATACAGAGAAATCAGTCAGGGATTTATAACTGTAGAGCTACCAACTCCATAGGAATGTCTACACCAGCTTCAATACATGTGGATGTACAGTGTAAGTATTAATATCTGATTACTGAAAACTCTATTAGGTACTTTGATTGGGAAATTTGATCACTCGAGTTCATTTAAATGTGCGTCAAATACATGCGCAAAAGAATTTACAATACAATAATTCAATACACTGTACATTTACAATAAGCAACTGTAGAGCTTCTAACTCCATAGGAATGTAAGCACCAACTACAATACATGTGGATGTACAGTGTTAGCATTGATATCTGATAAATACTGAAAACTCTATAAGGTACTATGATTGGGAAACTCATGTACACTTGAGTTCATTTAAATGTGCGTCAAACACATGCGCAAAAGAATTTACAATGGAAAGATGTAACTAGAGCAAAGCTTGTTGCAAAGCAACGAGTAGGTCTTCCGTTGGAGCTGCGGACCAGAAGTACTGACCTTGGGTCAAGGTCATTACACTTTCTCAGGTGAAAAGGAATTTTCAAATGATTAACTTCCAATGTTTCACCAGTAGAAAAACAATAGACAAATTTACAGTTTCTCTCACAGTGACCCTGAACTTGTCTAAGTGACCTTGCATCACCACCATTACAGTTTCCAGTTTAGGTTAACCCCAATTTGTGGGTTTCTGACAATGATGAATTTTACACTTTTTGTAACAGTGACCTTGAACTTGCCTGAATGACCTTTGTCAGGGTCTTTACACACCCTCAGGTCATAAACAAGCTTCAAATGATTCTCAATTACAAAATTAAATTATACTCAGAGAAGAATTTTGAACTTTCTAGCCAATGTCCTTGCCAGAAGACCTTGGATCAAGGTCCTGACATGACACACACTTGGAATGTAAATAATCTCTGTATCAAGTAAGAGCTTCCAGTGATTTTCTATTAAAAAGTTAAAGCATGAAGTAGAAAGTATTTTTTCTGCCAGTGACCTTGAACTTACTGGAATAACCTTGGGTCAAGATCAGGACAAACCCTCGGTCTCTATTAATATCTGTTTTAAGAAAGAGCTTCTATTGATCGCCCCTTAAAAATTTATAGCCCAGAGGGGAACATTACAACTTTTTCTGCCAGTGACCTTAAATTTGCCAGGCGACCTTAATCTATAGTCATCTCAAACTGATCATAAGCAATCTTTGTACCAAGTATTAGCTTCCATGTTATAGCACAGATAGTAATTTTACACTTTTCTGTCAATGACCTTAACATATCAGAATGACCTTTTGTCAAGGTCAAGGCACACCACCGGATCATAATAATAATAATTATTATAATAATAACTAGAAACTCATTGTGAGCAATGAGAGGTCTTCCGTCCGATTTTGAAAATAAAAACGTAAATTCAGGCTGAAAAAGTGATGAAAGAAATTCAGACACTCTGGAGATTTAACCATGGTCGTTAGCGTAAAAATCCAATGCGCTAACCATTAACCATTCACTTTTTTGCATCACTTCCTGTCACGACCGGAAGTAACGGCGATGCAAGATTTTCTCACAATTCAAATAAACTGATGACTGACTATCAGTCCTGAAAGTTTTAGATTTCAGTCGTTTGCTGTTGCCGAGCAATATTGTGAGATCAAATTCTAATTTTGAGGACAGGTAAACACGCGACCAAAAGTGAATTCTATAAAAATCTCTGACGTTTCCATAGAATTTGCAGTATCTACAACATACATGAAAAAATTTCAAGTACTTTATCTTTAAGCAATATTTATGAGAAAGTTAAACATCGAAATTACGTAGTTTATCACCTAAAACGGACCCTTAAAAAAGAAACAAATTACCCCAAAAATCGCGAACAGAAGTGAATTTTCAAAAAATGAAAAATACGTATGGAGATATTCTCATGATGCATCGTCCCTGAAAAAAAATTTTTTAAATCCGTTCACTCACATCTGAGATATCGCCCTAACTATGAAAAAAAGAATAATTATAATAGTAACTAGAAACTCATTGCGAGCAATAAGAGAGGTCTTCCGTCCGATTCTGAAAAAAAAAATTCAAGCTGAAAAAGTGATAAAATAAATTTAGACACTCTGAAGGGATTTAACCCTGGTCGTCAGCGTGAAAATCCAACGTGCTAACCATTAACAATTATTTTATTTTATTTTATTTATTTTTTTTTTTTTTGGCATCAATTCCTGTCATGACCGTAAGTAATGGCGATACAAGATTTTCTCACGATTCAAATAAACTGATAACTGACTATCAGTCCTGAAACTTTTAGACTTTAGTCGTTTACTGTTGCCGACCAGAAGTGAATTTTATAAAAAATCTCTGACTTTTCTCTAGACATTTGCAGTATCTACAATATACATAAAATTATTTCAGGTACTTTATGTCTAGACTAGACATTTGCAGTCTGGATAACATATTCAAAATTCATTTCAAATACTTTAGCTACAAAAAAATGTGAATGGGAAAGAAAAATACTTAATAATTATTTTTTTCTTCTTATAATCGGAAGTTGTCGTTTTTGTTTCCGGTGGGACCAAAATCTTTGGAATCTGCGGAAAAGATGCAATAAATTGATGCATTTTTAATTAAATAAAAAAAAAAAAAATTGTAATTTTCAATTTCTTTGATCACTTCCTGTGACTACCGGAAGTGACGGCTGATGCTCTGAACCCAAATGGTTTTGCCTACATCTTATGGTCTGTTGCTCATATAAGTTTGGTGTCTTCATCTCTTACCGTTTCCGAGATCTTGCTCAGTTTTCGAGGACAGAAAAACACACGATCGGAAGTGAATTTTACAAAGATATTTGACGTTACCCTAGACATTTGCAGTCTGAATAACATATTTAGAATTCATTTCAAATACTTTATCTACAAAGGATATTAATGGAAAAGAAAAATACTCAAATTATGTAGTTTTTCTCCTATAACCGGAAGTTGACGTTTTTGTTTCCGATGGGACCAACATATTTTGAAACTACAAAAGAGATGCAATAATGTGATTAAGTATTGATATAAAAAAGGAAAGTCGATTTCTTTGATCACTTCCGTAAGCGACCGGAAGTGCCGACGACGAACGGAAAGGTGATTCTGTTCACCTATAAGTCATGTACTATCATCTCCAAGAAGTCTCCAGTTCATATCTTTAGCCATTTTTTTAAAAAAAAGGTGCGACAAAATTTTATTTTATTTATTTTAAAATCAGGATATTGTCCATAACTTGGCACCGGAAGCGAATTTTCAAAATTCCTCCAAGATGTATCAAGTTCCTATAGATGCGCATTATTCCTGAAAATTTCACTGAAAACCACTGAATAGTTGCCGAGAAATCGCGTGCACAAAATTCAGGGAAAAAATAAGAATGAGAATAGCGCAAAATTCACAAAGAAAAAACGCTCAATAACATTTATAAAGATGAAAACGTAAATTAAAGCTAGAGAATGAGAAAGAAAATTCAGACATAATTGGGATTAATCCCAGATCGCCTGCTTTAAAATTCAATATGGAAACCACTACACCAGCGCAATTTTACCATTCATCATCGATTTTTACTTTCATTGTATCAATGCTTGAAGTAACAAGTGTCAAGGAGGATAAAAGTTTCTTATATACGGCGGAATTATAGAATGAGAGCTAGCTAGCCAAGTTTTGTGCGAGCAGATTCACATCGGAATTCGTTATACTTGAGTTTAATTAAGCAATAACTATCAGCAGAAGAAATAATGATGAACTGGTAATACTAGAGAGGTTTAGTTACAAGTGACGTAACAACGTGTACGCGAAACTTTGACGTACACGTTATATTTGACGTCGTTTATGCCGAACGGGTAGACAGCGTATTACACGTTTTAAACTTGTAGCTACACGTCGGGTTTGACATCATGATGTCAAAGACCACAACAATTGATGACGTCACCCATACAAGTTCTTCGCATAAGGTGTAACTAAACCTCTCTAATGTTTACTTCTTTTCTTCTTTATATATTCAACTTTTTTTTCCGTGCAATTTTCCATATACATGTATTTCATGTCCATGTTATCTTTTTCTGCTCTTCTGTATCAGACCATTTGTCTATGTCACGAGCAAATCTTCGCATTTTCTTTGAAATGTATGTTCTATTGAATTCTATTGAATGGTATCCATGATCATATATATTATTGTATGTATTATGGACAGAGTATTTAGGGTATTTAGTATATCTTTAGGGGCCAGCCCTTCAACTCCTTAATGGGGACGTTTAGCAAAAATTGAAAGATTAGATATTGTTTAAAACATTATTTTGAACATCTTTTATTCAATATTGCTTATCAAAATATTTCCCACTTTCGAGATATAGAGCGCAAAAGATTTGGCATTCTGGCCCCTTATGGCCCTTAATTATGTAATATATGATGTATATATCATAATATATAGTTGTAAATTGTTAAGATAAACATTTTTGCTTCAGTAATGTATACCAAAATATTGATCGTTATTGAGTTATTGATTTAATACTTTTGGCCCCTCTGGGCCCCTAATATGACAAGTCAGCCCTTTTTTCTTGATATCATATTAAAGATCTTGTCATTCTGCACAAATATTGTTCAGTATGTTTTAGCAAAATAATTATACTTTAAAAGATATGATACAAAATGTCTCAAAAATTCACTCATGACTCGTGTCCTAAATTTCGACCCCTACCGAGCTTCCATACTAGGCACTTCCAGAAAATATCTAAACACAGGTGCAAAATGGCAACATGTCCTCTATCATCACTGAAAATTTCAGTGCTCTAGCTTGAGCCGTTTTTGAGTTCCATTGCAGACAAGGAGGTCCTCTGAATTTTAATAAAAGGGCGATAACTTCCGATCGGAAGTGATTTTTCAAATTTTGAAATGCCGGTACAAACTTTCATAAACTCTGAAAACTTGAAGTAAATCGATCAATTCATCTCCGAGAAATCTTCTGCACAAAATCGGTAAGGAGAAAAAAAAGAAGAATAACTAGATGCGATCTCGTTGCGAGCAACGAGTGGGTCTTCCATCCAATTTTCGATAAGATGAGATAAGAATTTGACTGAGAT